GTGATCAAGTGTCAGAAACCCAAGCCCAGCAAAGCAGCTCCTCCCTCCAGGAACAGTGTGATCAGTGAGAGGAACTCCACCATCGCAGACTCCACTCTGGTCTCCAACGATGCCTACTGGTACAGTCTGTTTCTAGCAGAGACCAGGAAAGGAAAGCTGGTGGTTAGACAGCCTCTGCCAAAGGGCTCCAGGTACATTGTGTCCAGCATACCGAGAGGGACAGGACTGACAGACACTAGTGACTCAGCAGCCTCTACTCTGCAGGTATAGGTCCTTAATGTTTTTGCATTTTCAACAAACTCTTTTTAAAAAAGGATACCTCCTACTTATTACAATTTCTTGTTTAACAAACTCCAAAGTGAAAAAAAAAATGTAAACCTTTAATCGCTGGTACATACTTGCAATATCTGCAATGGAAATGTTTTTCTCTTTGCATGAGAGACATTACAACCTTTAGAAAATGACTACAGATTTAAAAAATGCCAACAATAATGTTTCACATGTGTGAAACCCAAATACGTTTTTGCTCTGGTGTCAGTGTGTTTCGTTTTATGTTAACTGGTCACAGGCACATGAGCAAAGGTATGCGATTCAAATAAGATTTATTTTAAAACTAACAGGAGAAATACATTTTGAGATCAGATAGGAGTGTGACTTTGTTTGCAGGTTTTGAATTAGTTATATTGTCCTTACTATTTTGTTTTGTTTGTTTGTTTTTTGCTGTTGATGACATGACCTTTCAACATGAAGAAGATATAGAATATGAGATTGCTGGTCATCAGAACAACTTCAAACTCAAGTCTGCACTATGTTTGCAGGAAACTATGACCTTAGGGCAGGCAGTTCATCTCCAGTAGTTGAGATGAACAGGTTTTGAGATAAGAAACAGAAATCTCTTAATTTATTGGTTAGAATAAATAACCTAAATATGATACAATTTTGCCATTATTCTATGTCATATCTGTCTGTTTTTCTTTCTTTGTTGTTATGTGTGGTACTCTAAATGTAAAACTGTGTTTTGACCTACTTCTGTAGCACACATTGTAACAGTATTTCCTTCTAAGGTTCACACTAACATGCTTATTCTGTGCTATTTATAAGTCATAACATTCAGTTTATAGTGCCAACTCTGTGATCACTGGATTCATACACACATACACAAAGAATCCTTCTGTGCTTGTACTGACCTGACCACTGAATTGCTTTTTTTTTCTCCCCACTCTAAAGTACCCTAAATGAAGGAAGTCCGCTCTGCAGTTGGAGGTATGCAGAAGTCTCACTCCCCCGCCCTGGATAACTTTTCTATTAATTATTACAGAACTATTGTTTCAATTGTTTTTGTGTTTGTTTTGTTCTCGGTGGATGTTAGTATTATGCAGTGTCTTGTATTTCATTTTCTTTGAGGAGGAGATGTTTTTTTTTAACTGGCTAAAGATCATTTGACTTACTTAACATTACATGCATTTTGCCACTTTTGTGTCAGCTTTAATGCTTACAGTCTCATCCATTAGGCCTAATGAAAGCTTCTTATACAGTCTAACTAGCACAGTGATTAACAGCATGCTAATATATTTGAGTACTATGTTTTCTCCCTTAATACTTTTATATTATTTTGGTGCATAAAACATTACTATCATGACCTTTATTGACCTCAGACAAGAAAAAAGATTAAACAAAAATAATCGTAATGGCTTACAGTCTTGCTTATATTTCAGCGAATACAGTCATCCAAATTAAGTAGTATTAAATTAGTATTCCTGTCATAGTCATTGCTTTTGGTGAACAAAGTGACAATCATGTTGAGAAACTAAACAAAACAAAAGAAACCGAAGCAAAACAAAACAAACAAACAAAAAAAACCCCCTTCACTTCAGTCAACACTGTTGTCATTTGCTGGCTTAGGTTCTGGCCTTTGCTGTTATAGGTTTTTCTCAGTTGCTTTGGTAGATTTCTCAAAACATTTTCAACACTCTCTGCATTGAAGATTAATTACCAAGAGCAGCACATGCATGCAGCAAACAAACAAACCCTACAGTAAAGAGGCTGTAACTCACTCAAAACCTATGTGAAAATTAACTTCACGTGCTAGCAAAAATACCTCTGACATCAACATGAAAAGTGTGAATCAGGGATATTTTGACCGAAGACAGTGGGTTGTTATTTTGAATTTCCTCACTTCTAGTCTTTTCCTCCAATTCTTTTCACTTTGTATCAAAGTGAAAATTCTGTGTTTGTAATGAACCACTTACATTTCCATGTAGTGTGAGGGTAAACTATGTTTTTCCTGCAATTGTCACAATATAAACTATACTAAATGGGGGGAAAAAAACAAAAAAAAACTTTGGCCCCAGGTTTTCATACTTCACATATTTTTCTGACAGCTCAGCTCCATTTTTTTTAAGTTTAAGGTTTCATCCTTGTAACATACACCTATAATAGAGTTTAAGATTAAAAACTATTCCATGGAGAAAAAAGAATAATTTATATTGACGACAAAGACAAATGCAACCCATGAGCATTCAAATTGTCTAGACCTGCTGAAAGATTTACAAATTTAAAGAATAATGAAATTTTTTCCTTATGCTGTGGATGAGCAACACAGTGCTGTGAATGATTCTGTGTATTGTTTTGACAGCATTAACTCTAATTCAGGAACTGAGCCTAAGCAACTGAGAAAAACTGAAATATATGCCAAGAAAAAATGCCCTTAATTGAATCACTATGTTCTCAAAAGAATGGTGTGTGTGCATGTCTGTTCATCCCCTAATAATCCATCACTTATATATTAGGACTTTTTCCTGTTTTTGAATGTTTGTAAGTGGAATTGGGCTGTGCTGTTAAACCGGTGATTCTACTAAATGTTTCTGACTTCACAGAATGACACGTTTGAATATGAATGACACAATGTCTGTTGTAGACTGAATTGTGACCTAAATCTTTGTGCAGGAGACGCGCAAAGAGAAACCGGTCACCCAGTTACCTAGCAACCACTCTCCTTCACATAATTTTGCAGCATGGTATTCATAGATCTGCCACCTCCCCACTACATGTTCAAGGATCCGCCCAATCCCTCAACCCAGTCTGTCCTCTGCTTGAAGCCCCGTATAAGCGACAGACGTCGGCTGCATGAGATGTTTCAGTTTGCCCAGTCCCAAGTGCTCTTGTTCTTTTTTTGAAATTTGTCTAATTTTCATCTCATTGGCAGGCATCCACAACCAGCAGCAGCAGTTCCACATAAGACCCCCATCCACCTGCAGCGTACAGGATTAACACTGACAAGAATGGCTTCACAGAGGAAAGAAGAAACCTCTAACCATACACCCCCCTCCAGGTCTGCCCTGCTGAGTCTGTAAAAACATGGCCCAGCGCTTTATCTTTGAACCCATGAAAAGCCAGTCAGCAATGCATCCCTGTCCATTCAGTATGCATGATAAGACAGCATGGTTTCAACCACACTTCAACTGACATATGTTAAAAAGAAAATTTCAAGAGGAGATGCAATGAAATGGACTATCTGAAAAACTGTGCCAGTGGATATTAAAAGAAGCCACAACAAAGAGCAAAAAAGTGGACATGGAAATGTTGAAATGCCTTGAAAATACACACTCTCTCTCTTCAAAAAATGAAACACATAAGATATCATATTTTTAACTGCTCTGCTTTGTCTTGGTCTACTACAGCTTTGTTGTATGATAAATAGGGTAACTAAGGCGTGAAATAGCACAATTAACTACACATCAGAAAAGCACCAACCTACAGTTTTAATGTATGAAATAAGAGAAAATCAGTATTTTGTAAATGTGGTAACTTTGAGTACTTTTATGTTTTGTACTTGACTTTGTGCTTTATATGTGAACTAGGCCTGAAGATACTGTATGACTTAGAGTGCTGAGAGATAAGATCAATAAGTGTACAGAACAGAAAAGATCAAGGCCTTTAGCCATTATGCCTTTAAGTTGTTTTTGCATGGAAGAATTCAAGTACTTTTGACAGCTTTTGTTATTTTATTATATTAAGCAACATTTTTGCAGTTAAGTCTCACTGTTTCACTTGATTTTTCTGGACAATATGGAACGATTTTAATGGGACAATAACGGCAGTAAATCAGTATAACACCTTTTAATCATGATGTCCTAAGAGGTTTAGAAGATGTCAAAAAAAATCTATAAAACAGCACAATGACATTGCTTTTGGACTCAGAAAATGATTTAATCAAAGCCTAAATTAAAATGTGCAATGTCGCTTATTATTTATTTTATGTGCTCCTCTAGAATGAGGCTTGGATTTTAAATGCAAAACAAGTGAATACAGTGAGCCTTTAGCACTCTGTACAGTATATGCACCACAAACATGGACATGTACAGTCACCTGTCAATGTCTAGATCCAAGTTCTGGCTGTTCCTTCATTTTGATGTCTTCTGCAGTGTTTAAAACCGAAGAACCAAACATGTTCGTTTAATCCTTACACTTCAGAAACAATGTTGTTATGGTTGATTTCACTCAATGAAAGCTGTTCTAATGTTTATCACTGACTAACTGTATGTATATGGATATGCATATGCAGCACCTAATCTAGGATACAGATATAATTCATATATACAGTATCTCATTTGTATGTATCTATGAATATGCCTTTCATTTTCAGTACCAGTGCTTTTTCAACTTTTAATGTGAAAAAAGTGGAACTCCTGTGCCATAAGATTTATGACCCCAACTAGTATGTTTAGCACAGCTCATAAAGCATTACTTTTAAGAAGCTCAAATATCTTAAAAACATATGCAGTAAGGGCCTTTGTACAGTGGTACTTTTATGGTGCAATATATGGTAATTTGTGTAATGTGAGCTAACTGTGATCTGTGGTTTGGTCTGTAAGATTCATTAAATACGAAACAGAATAAACTAAAAGGCATTTAGTACTCATTTTGGATAGCTGGATTATTTAATAATTATTTCAAATGTAATACATTTTAAGCAATACTTGTCTAACCATCTAAATAGATAGTATCAAGAGAGAGAGACATACACACTCATCTGTTATAATAAAAATGCATTAAAACGCCAAAGTTCAAGTTCCTGTCCCATCTTTGTAAACTTGTCAACCAACTCAGTCAAGTTTCTCTACTGTAGAACCTGCTTGTATTAATACTTATTGAATTGACTGTATTAATTTCAGATTTATTTACTTTATTAAGATATTTGCTCTTTCACATTTTATTTTACCATTCTATTAAATTAATTATATATTTGTTGCTTTTTCACTTATTTTAAAGAAAAAAAAAAATCAGTGGCTTATTAAGACAGGTTTAGTAACAAAACCCCATCTTTTCACAAGACAATGTGGGAGGATATTCTACAGATAAGTTTTGCAGTCATTCTTTCACTGTCTCATTTGCTTGCAGTTCAGTTTCCACAAAAACTATAAAAGCATGGTAAAGTTTGCACACAGTGCTGTTTCTGTTTCTGTAGGCTGCTAAGACTTTTTTTATTTGTTTGTTTTTTTTATCCCTAATATGGATGGTGTGAAGAAAAATATCATGAATGCGAGTACCAACAAGACAAACAAAATCTAAAAAAAACCCCTCCTAAAGTAAACCATATACATACAGTTCCACAAAAATCTCCCTTCTAGATCTGCTCTCCTTCAAGATCTGAAGTTTCCACCACTAGAATGTAAGTATGGATTAAAATTCAAATGATCAAATTATATTGTCATATATAATTAAAACATCCATCCATCCATCCGCTTCCGCTTTTTGTTTTGCGTTTCGATTTTTGTACTAAACTAACCAACTTTTCTTGATTTAATCTATATAAAAAAACAACCAAACAAAAAACTTTAGATATTTGAAGAATATAACATGTGAAGTGAAAGCAAGAGGGACATTTTGACAGGTAAGTATTTCAGGAAATCTATGAGGGTTCCTCTGTCATGATGGCAAAGGGAATGGCTCCAGCTATGTGTCTGTACTGTGCTTCCTTCTATGAGCCTATATATGCACGATGTGTTATTATATGGCCAAGCAAACAATCATAATAAAAGAGCAATCACATCACGAGTCTTCAGTATATGAATCTTTAAACAAAGCCTTATGAATCGTGATAAATGCCACGAGCTGTGTAATAAATTAAGGGCATATAAAACATTTTGTTACAATGCAAAATGTTTTGTTTATCATGAACACTGCTTTAAAGATAATGAGTGTATTTGTATTTTATTCAGTGGCTGGCTGAAAGCATAAGGCTGTCTCTCTTTGAGACTCTTTGTGTGCAGACATGACCTCATCTCCCCTGAGAGATGAGGTCACGAGGAGGTAATAATAGTATTCAGGCCAACAGCACTAGTTATTTTAGCATCTTCTATTCACACTTTAATTTCAGAATCACATTCTAGCATAACCAAGCAAAACCTCCATATATGTCTG